TCAATGTTGCACTAAACTTGTTTGGGTTTAAACCCGCAATATTGCGGATATCCACCTTGCCAGCACAAATAAAGTAGAAGAAACATGATATGCATACTATTGTTACGATAACAAACGTGAATAAGACTTTTACGAGAATAATAAATAAGTTTAGAAAGGTTCAAGGAAAACGTATATGAAAACTAAAAAAACAATGTTACTCCCTCTATAGTCGTGGCGGCTTGGTCTGTGAAGCCAATGCACTTGTTCTTTGTGATGGGTCTTGAGTATCATCGCGGAGATAGAGATCTTGATGCTGAAGGGCGAGAAGATCTGCCATGAGACTCATGATCCGCAACATTATCAAGAGCGTAGAAATGTGTGGTGCTGATTCCAAGCAACATGCAGTGCATAAGGCTGAAACGTTTCTGATGAACTTTTCTTTGTTGCTGGCATTTCCACCACAAGCAAGTGTATATATTTATTGTTGCTATTATTGTAATTTTGCAACAAGGAGTTTATGGACAATATGAAGAAGCTATTTACCCATTGGCGTCTACTCTGAAAGAATGCATTTAGAAGCGCCTTTATTGGGTATTGGGTATTGGGTATTGGGGAGCATAGTTCTGAGAGAAGAGAACTATTGTTCCATACAGTGCCTTGATGCAAATGCAAAAGCGATTGTTACTTGACAAGAGTATGTGCGAAAAACCAGGACTACATGTAGCATGCAATGCGACTTATGACATCCAGCAGAATGTCTATAGATTGAGATGACAATATCTAACTGCACTAAACACTTTTGGAGTGAATATAATATTAGATGTGCACATCTCTGTTGTAAGATATATATGCGACATGATTGACTATTTGATGGATTTATATGGCTAGACTGACTACGACAGAGCGGCTAATGTCCTTGAGCCATATTTCAACAGACATGATACACATCTTGGCTTTGCTGATGTTGGGTGGCATATGCTGGATCTACATTAAACGTGCAATGCTATTGGGTTTCTGCAAGGTTAAATGTGTCAATAATCGATGACTCTGGCTGTTACAAGAGTAGATTTAAAATGTCAAACAATAAATATTAAAACAAGAGAATAAACTCCCCAAATCCCAGCCTAGTGCTGAATGGGAAAACAAATAAATACTAACAAGAAATACTGTGATGATCCCAGTCAACTGATATATCCTGTAACGTCACATATGGCTTCTATGTGACACGTGTACTGGGGGATTATACACTCAGAGAAAGTACTGCAAGGCTACAGCTCTGAGAAGCATAAAAAACAACTTGAAGTTACTTGATTGATCCACCTGGATCTAATACTGGGACTTCATGATGCTTTAACAGGTTCTTATGGTAGTGTGGGAGCCAGTGGTACTCCTGCCTCTAGCCCCAAACAATGAGCTAAACCACGGACTCTGGTAGGACTACATGTATGCTCTATCAAACAAAGGATATTGCATGTAACAAATACCAATTGACTAATTGACAACATATCAAATGATCTAAGTTTAGCTCAAAATGAGTACAGTTTGTGATTCAGAAAAAGGGGATGTAGCTCAGTGGTAGAGTGTTCGCTTTGCACTTAGCAAGATTGCGAAATGCCCGGGGATCGAAACCCCGCTTCTCCAAAATCATTTTTTCATTATGAATCTCGAATTTTTTATTATGCAATTATTATTTTTTTTTAGCTTGCCTTAAATAATTTGCAAAAAAAAAAAAATTCATCTTTTTCTTTTTGTCATGTTTTTTGGATAATAATTTTACTATTTGAACGTCTAGTATTTATATCCTTGCTAGTTCATGAACCAAAGGTAGAATTATTATCTGATTAGCTTTATCATATATATGCTAGTAAAAATGAAGTACTACTGTTAGAGGCAGGTGGTATTCAATTAAATTTAATGTCCAAGACAAGTAGATGGTGTAATATTTAACCAGCTAGCTGCTCTCTTGGAGCAAAGTGTAAAGTTATTATATCATTTGTTCCTTCTATTTATGTGCTTGCCTGCTCAGCATTCAGGTTGGGAACTGGGTGTATTTTTTCTTTGTTTATTTTATTTTAATATTTTTTTGTGGAAGACATTCTCTTAACAAACACCATCACCTCATTCAGTTTTAGAAGGGCACCTCTCACCTGTGATCATCATGTTTAATCAATGTCTCCTGTGACATCACATATGAGGGCTATTATTTTTCACTAGTATTTAATGGTTTGCCCACTCAGCACTAGGCTGGGAGTCAGGAAGTTTTCTTCTCTTATTTTATAATTTATTGTTTAACATTTTAAAAAGCTACTCTAGTAACTGCACCAGTCAGTAATTTGAATTTGTTGAGGCATCAGAGGCACAGGTACCTGAACTGCTGGTTTATCCTTAGATCCAATGGCTGGAGAACACATGTCAAATTCTTTGGCAAGTTGTCAATACTGGCTTCCAGGGCATTAAGGGCTTTCTTGCTTCCTATATTGACATGAGGGGGACAGTTATCAAGAATGAGCACATGCTTGTTAGAGTCAAGATGGTGTTGGCAGAGCCAAACACTGAAGACAGATACCCATATGGTAAACAGCACACTTGTCAGTCAACTATGGTTAGCAACATTGAAAATACTGTCATCACCAAGGGCATTAGCTACAAACACACTATCATCCTTATGGAAAATAGGAAACAGGGGTAGCCTATGACTGCCATTGCATGCCAACACAAAGTGCACAGAGATATTGGCACTCATTCTCTATATATTAGCAATAAATGCATATATTTTACTCAGTAATTAGTATGCACAGTATCCCAATACCTACACAGGAAAATAATCAATGATATCTTACATGAACACTGAAGGTAAGTGCCATTTCATTGACATTATAGAGGTCTGATAGATGAAGGCCATTGAAAGTGGTATGGAATTCACTTGTCACACAGAATTAGTCAAGATCACTGGATCGGCAAATTGGGCAAGGGTCTGCGGCTTAGCCACAGTAGAACGTTGTTATTTAAAAAGAGTTTATTGTTATTTACAAAATAGAACTCTTTATCTTCTCTTTATATTTATCGGAATACATTTTAGTATCGCAAGTAGTGTATTATTCATTCTGTTTGTTAATACACCCATGTATGAGGCATTCTACCTAGTTACTTGTAAACCATGTAGAACCAAAGCTAAGTACTTCTGGTAAACCAGGGCAGAAATGTAGTTAAAATATATCTACAATTAGGAACAAATGGATGGGCACTCACTACAACTTTTATGCAACATCTACACAGGGGCCTGTAGATAATCTAATTTATTACATCAAGTGTACATAACATTGTTCACTAGCAAATGAGTATTACAGAGTGATATTTAAATATTGAGAATTAGTAACTGACATTATAAATACTACCTTTATTCCAGTAATTCTCAGCCTGGTAATTTACAACACAGTAGGAGTTTTATGTGATATTTAAGTCTTATTGGAACAATAGCCTATTGTTTTTAAAAAAAAAAAGTCCTTGATCAACTAGCTACAGAGGGTCAAGCACTTCTGTGCAAATGTCCAAATAACTAAAGACTATCCAGCGACTGCTTAGAAGAGAGCAGATTAGAGGGTTCTGAATATTTTTGAGTGGGATAGTTTTGCCATGTTTAGGCACATGCCATGCTGTTAACATGTGATAGAGACTGATCACCAGGAGGGGTGCAGAACTCTGGTAGTTGGGGAATCACCCTCCTACAATAGTATAGCCTATCAGTGTATAAGCCCTCTTACTACACAAGAGGGCAGAATAGATTCCTTCTTCCTCTTTACATCATTTTATTGTTATACCCAAAGCCTTGAGCAGCATTGGTGCCATAATAAGTAAAGGGTAGAGCTCACTCCATTCCACAAATGCAATAGCATTGCCAGTGTACCTATGCAATTCCAAGACACAAATATCATGATAGTCAGGAGCTGGCTTGATGATTAATGATGGCCACATGCAGTTGACAGGAGATATAAACATTGGCACTACAATATACCAGATTAGCTTAGGGCAGCCACCTATGACAATGCTGAGCTTGGTAATAACACATATATCACATAATCGACATGGTGAGTCCATTCACCAAGCAATACACCCACAACACATAGGTATATCCAGAACTGGGCTGTCAGGCAAGTTGAAGTAATAATAGAATTAGATACTCATACTCAAATATGTTTGCACTCCTTCATACTTCCATGCTACTGCATAAACTTTGCACCAAGCTGCCCAAGCCAGCACTCAGGCATGACTGGCACTGGAAAGCCATTCATGCTGTTAAGTTGAATATTTGTATTTTGATAGTAAAAATAAATTGCTAGAAACAAGACCCTGTTCCTTGCTCTATTGTCATGAAAAACTGTTTCTTGTACCTGTCCTTTATGCTGATCTGATTTATTAACTGATCAATATTGTTAGCACATTTGTTGCTAACAAGAATACAGGCAGAAAAGACACCAGTAACAAGCCAGGTAGATGGGAATGAGTTCAAAATGCTGAACAAGCAGGGACAGTGTCATGAAGAACTAATCACGATCACTAAATCAGTGTACTGGGCAAGGGTTTGTGGCTAAGCCACAGTAGAACATTGTTATTTAAAGGAGTTTATTGTTGTTTACAAAATAGAACTCTTTATCTTCTCTTTTATTTATTTGAATTACATTCTAGTATCACACAAGGGGAAATAGATATCAGAAAGAAAAGAGGGAATGTAATGGCAATTGCTCTCTTATCTGTTGTCTTTGGTAAACTTCAGCTACTTATTACAAACATTCTGACAATATGATTACACTGCTTGACCCTCTAAACTACCATCAATGGTTTACCACTAGGAATACCACTAGAGATATAGCAGAATATGTGAAGTTGTACCTTAATTTATTTTGTGATGACAGTAGTACCAATAAAAAAGAAGAATGGTTTTGTAGTGTTGACTTCAAGGAAGCATTTCCACAGCTATACAGGTATACCTGCCAAGTGTACCAAGTGCAGCACAATTGGTGCTTTGCCTGGGAGTTTGCTATCTGCAGCCATGAAGTTTGTGTGTGCCACTTTGGCAATGACATGGCTGTATCATCAAAGCCAATGAACGTCACCACACCTGAGGGCTGGCATGCCTTTATTGAGCTCTTGGTCAACTGGTCAATGTGTGAGGACTCCCAGCTTGGCTGCAATCTGACTATTGTACACTTGCCTGACCTTGATTGCTGGCAGATTGACTGCCCAAATGACACAAGCCACAGCATTGGCACCAAACCTTGGCACTACTACTTTAATGAGGTTATTTGCCATGCTGATCATTTGTTTGGACGTCATACCTGCTGCTTCCTTGCTACTGATACCAAGCCTGCAGTCAGCAGCCTACTAGTGCCAAGTGTGGTTATCAAGGACGCCTGGGTATTTGCTAAACCTTCTACTGACAAGGACGTCCACGATGAGATCAAGACGTTGAAAAAGATCAGAGTGACACTTGGTGAGCATATTAAGCCCAAGGACGATATTATTTACCTGGAGATTGTGGTGGGTGGAAGAGTTTCATTTAAGCCTGGTCATGCAAGGATCCAGGACAATTTTGACGACGATTGTCATGGGCTAAAGTGAGTGAAACAGGCACAACATGGTGACTGAGACTGTTACCTTACATGAGTATCTACTACCTAAGCAAGTCAAATGGCAAGCACACTACCCTTATTTTTACTTAAAATTGTTAAAGACCACTGAGCGAATTCAAATATAAACAAACGCCTCAATTAATATTAAAAAAATAATATTGGAGGAAAGGAGGCAAAGATGCTCCCTATTCTTTGGAGGGCACATTGATCAGCTCCTTAGGCCTTGATGTTGACACCACACCGTCGTCTCAAGAATGTGTGGAAGCAGGGCGTAATCTCCTCCTCGCCAATCACCATATTGAATTCCACGTGATCATTTGATGCAGGTTTTTCTGCGCGTCGCTCAAAAAAAAGGGCTTTTCTACTCTCGCGTCTCACTGCAAATTTGTTTTTTTTTTTAGTTCGTTCTTCATCATCATCACAAATTACTCACATTTGAATAATGCAGCGACTAGGACTCTTTAGCAGCTCCTATTTGGAGAGACTCAAGGAAGGAGACACGGCAATGCTAGTGCTATCGACGCTGGGCGGCACTAGTGGAGGAGGCGGTGGAGGAGGCGGCGGTAGTGGCAACAATGGTTTTGGCGGTCTAGGAGGATTTGGAAGCCCAACCAATGCAGGCAGCGGCAATATGAATCTGCGCGCACGGTCTACGCGTGCTAGTCGCCGCAATTTGCGAGAGTGGAGTTCTGATTCAGAGAACGAGTTTGGCGGTGGCGACGACGACTTTGAGTCAGCGCTAGAGACGGAGCAAAGCTCAGTCAAGCACGGAAGCGATAACGACGGCAGTGGAGATAAAGACAAGGTACAAGACCTGATGAGCGGCATTGGGTTGCAGTCAGCGTATCTGAATCTGCCAAAGCGGGCTCGGCGTCGAACGGCCCACCAGCACTTGCGAGATAATCAGGCAGCGTGG